TACTTAAATGTTTTGAAATCATTTTTCAAGGCTGCTTTATGAATGAAAAAACATTTATTAGTGCTTACTTTGTGCAAAGCACTATGCTAAATGCTGGGGATACAAATAAGAAAATAGAGTCCCTAATATTTAAATATAAAAATACAAACATATGAAATCATACACTAGTAGAAGTAAAATATTCTAGAAATGAGTTGTAAATGTGCTAGTAGAAGTAGAAGTACTAAGGGCTCCCGAAGAAGTAGAAAGTCTTTGTAGATGGCATGTGTTGTGAAACTTCAATCAAGAGAACACTGTATACAGTAACAGCATAATTGTGAACAACCAAGTTGTTCTGAGGGCTATAAATACTCAGATCATCTATAAAGGACCTGTGGAGGAAGATGCTGGCCACCTCCAAAGAAAGAACTGATAAATGGAAGGGTGCATAGTGCTTGTATTTATATGGCCTTCTCCAGTTCAGGGTGGGAAGGAAGAAAGGGATACAATTTGGAACTTCAGATGGAACCAAAAAAAATTTTAAAAGCAACCGAGAAGTTGATTTTGTACTTGAACTTGATTTTTGAGAGTTTTCTATGACAACTGATTATATCATAATTATACTTGGAAATCAAGAGTATTTGTTTACAGATAACAGCTGGATGATTATAGATTTTTTTTTAAGAGTTGAAAGGGACCTTAGAGGCCACTGAGTCCAATCCTCATTTTATAGATGAGGAAAACAAGGCTCTTCATAGAGGTCAAGTAACTTGCCCAAGGTCACACAACTAGTGAAAATCTGAGGCAGGATTTGAACCTCATAAGTCTTGCCCTGTCCATTAAACCAAGGGTGTCAAACTCAAAATAGAAATGGAAGCCACTAATCCATACAGCAGCTAGGTGGCGCCATAGTTCACAGAGCTCCAGACCTGGTGTCAGAAAGATTTATCTTCCTGAATTCAAATGTAGCTGTGTGACCGTGGGCAAGTTGCTTAATCCTGTTTGCCTCAGTTTCTGCAGCTGTAAAATGAGCTAGAGGAGGAAATGGCAAACCATTCCAGTATCTTTGCCAGGAAACCCCAAATGGGATCACAAAGAGTCAGACGTGACTGAAAAAATAACTGAATCCATACATAAGGATCCATGTGGTCACAGATCGACTTAACTTTAAAATGTTACTTATGTTGTATTTTTGTTTGTTTTGTTAAACATTTCCCAATTACATTTTAATCTTGGTCAGGCCCAGTGGGTCCTAGTGTTTGACATCTCTGCCTTAAACCATGCTACTTTGATGAGTTTAGACATGCCTGACACACTTTTTCTGCCCTGCTGCTGTTTTCTGTTAGACTGTTTCTTTGCTCCATTCCTTCACCATCCACTTCAGCCCTTTGACAATAACAGGATAGCAAACTCTGTTAGCAGTATGACTCTGAGGGATAATCCCTCTCATACTGTATCTCTAACTCCACCTCCAATGTTAGGAAGACGAGAGCAAGTGATGGGAGGTAAAGAACAGAGCTAGAAAAATAAAAAAATAAATTTAAAAAAATTTTAAAAAGCTAGCTTTTCCTGCCATACCTTGGCCTGGTTTTGTATATAAGTAGGGGGGAAAGAGCTGATATCTTTATAACCCCAAGTGCCACCAGGATTGTTATGTGTGAAAGCAATTTGGTGTATTGGAGGAAACACAGGATTTAAAATTAAATCTCAGCTATACCATGTACTGTCTGAATGAACTTGGGCAAAGTCACCTAACCTCTGAGCCTTAGTTTTCTCGTCTGTTAAAGAAAAGGGTTGAACTACATGTTCTAAGACTATTATCTTTTTAAAATAAAGTAGTATGAGGAAAGTAGAGAAAAGAATGAGGATGGGGGAAAAATGAAAGAAAAGTGTATAGGTTATAGAGTGGTAGAAGTCACCATTATCTGCTCTCAAGTAACAGGATGGGAAAAAATATCACCAAGAAAAAGTAGAGGGCAAAAGGCTTCAATAAGTAGAGAACTTTAAAATGAGCAGGGCAGGGATTATGTCCTTAATCTACCACATAATGCTGGATATCCTAATTACTAGGTTTTCCTTGGCATTCAAAGTTTTCGCAATGTTTAATATCTGTTACGCATACAGAACTCTTGAGATGAAGTTCTAAGCATTAATGCTGCCATTGTAGGCAGATGGATGTGTATGTGATGGAAACAGCCCTTTGAAAGACAGAGCACTGGACTACATCACTATTGTTTGTGTCATGTTATTTGAAATACTTGGGATCTAAAGCAAGATAAGGGTGATGAACATTGTTTGATCAATGCGTGGTAATAATATTTATAGCTTCAAGATTTACAAAGGGTTATACAAGTATCTCATTTGATCCTCACAAGAAGATAAGTATTAGGCCCATTTGACAGCTGAGGGAACTGAAGCAGAGAGGTTAAATGATTTGCCCAGGTCACACAGCTTTTAAGTGTCTGCGGTCAGATTTGAACTCAGGTCTTTCTGCCTTCAGATCCAGCTATCTAGATTCACCATACCCCTTGGCTGACAACATGATTGCCTTGTGTTGTTCACCAGCTCAAGGACATTTGGGTTCAAGAGGAGTTTTAAAAAGTAAGAGTTTCTATTATGCAGGCTACTCTCTTCTGAAAAATTCCCCCCCCTACAATTGCTGGTGATTTCTGACCTCGTGCTTTGTTGTTATTGGAATATTATGTAAAAACTTTTATACCAAAATCTTAAAAAACATTGGCCTAGTTTTCCAGTGGCTAAAAAAAAGATCAATAATATAGAGCTCAAGACCTAGCTTTGGCTTTCCATGTACACAAGTTGCTCCCAAGCAGAAGACGTTTATTTAAGTATATGTGTTTAATTAAGGACAGAAACTGACCACGAAAGCTTATGAGGATGGATGGATTTGGGGCAGAATGACAGTGGATACAAAACCTCTGGACAACTGAAATTTAATGGGATAATAAAAGGCAATACAATAATTCAGCCGTCTTGTCTCTGAAAACAAATCTCTTTCCATGAACTGAGACCACTCGAGATCAGGAAAGGCTATAGGAGCTACGTGTTGGGCACACGTGGCCTTTTTGGAAATAAAGGCAGAAGAGCATGTGCTTCAAATTCCCCTTAAGGTCTAGAAAGCCTCATTTTTGCTCTCTCAAAGTCCACACTTACAGATTTCTCTTTAAAAAGTGGAAATGATGTCTTTTCATGAACTGAGACCAGGAGAGAATTGTGAAATTGGGTGACCAGGACGGGTATGATCTCAGCAGAAATAGGAAAATGAGGAAGAGGGCAGAGGAATTATGGACAGTTAGTAATCTTTGATTTTTATAGTTAAGTATTTACTGATGCAACATGAGGTAGAGCAGTACTTGACTTGAAGTCAGGAAGAACTGGGTTCAAATCCTGCCATAAGACACCAAATTGCTGCCATGGGCCAGTTATTTACCATTTCTATACCTCAGTTTCCTCATCTGCAAGATGAAGAGATTGGACTCAGTCATCACAATATTCAATATCAGAAAATGATTATGATTTTTTAATGGAAATTACATTAGTAGCGATGCGATATATGCTTTTCCTCTTCATCCTGACCATGAGACCATCCATCTGATTTACAGCTGTTTAAAACCTATACACATTATCGTCTCCCACTAGAATATGTCTTCCCAGAGAACAAGAATTGTCTTAACTTTTCATTTTGTATGCCCAGCACTTAAAACAATGCTTTGCAGAATTTTTTTTGCATTCATTTATTCTTTCATTCTTATTTATTTATTTTTTTAAAAATGCGTTTTAGGCAGTTGGGGTTAAGTGACTTGCCCAGGGTCACATAGCTAGTAAGTGTCAAGTGTTTGGTCTGAGTCCAGATTTGAACTCAGGTCCTCCTGACTTCGAGGGCCGGTGCATTCATTCATTCTTTAGCAGCCTTTCCAGCTCTGAATATATGATCCTCTGATGCAGACCTCCATGCCTAGCAGAAGTCAGCTAAGAATAAATTGGGAGGCAGTAAACCTAAAAGAAATTAATAAGGACAAAAACTACATTCTTTAAACTTATGAAAAGTCTAATTTATGTATGTATATACATATAGCCATGTGTGTATATGCATGTACACAAAGATACGCTTACACAGTATTTATGTGTGCACATATGCGTGTCTGTTTACATGTACACACACGTGTGTTCCTGTTCTTATTCCCCATATCAATCATCTCTATGAAACATAATTTTAAAAATGACAAAAGGTCTCAAAATTAGAATGCTTTCAATATCATTTCCAAAAGTTTAAAGAATGTAGTTTTTCACTTTATTAATTTCTGTTAGGTTCACTGCCTCTCCATTCTATTCTTAGCTGAATTTTGGGAGGCATGGAGAAGGTCTGCATCATACATAGGTTTTTGAGCAGGAAAAGTTTTGGAGGCCATTGAACAAATATACATACACACATGCATGCATGTACACATACATGTACACATACAAAATAGGTGTGTGTGTAGTTTAATGGGGCTGTCCATTCTATTCAACATATATATACACATACACACATGTACATATACATATACAGAATAGGTGTGTATGTAGTTTAATGGAGCTGTCCGTTCTGCTCAACATACATATACACATACACACATGTACATATACATATACAGAATAGGTGTGTGTGTAATTTAATGGATCTGTCCCTTCTCAACACACATACACACATGTACATATACAGAATAGATGTGTATGTAATTTAATGGAGCTGTCCATTCCACCCAACTGATCTCCAAAAATTGGGACGGATGTAAAGTGTAATGGAAAAGGAGGTCAGGCTCTTGCCAGCAGGCTGCGAGCCCAGTGGATCCTGGGAATTGTAGTCCCCAGAGCGCCAATAATTCCGCCCCCGGGGAAGAGCCTGACTACCCTCCCCGAAAGCCTCCAGGCCCTCCAGCTGGTGGGAGCAGCATTTCCTGAAAGGGCTCGAGCCCAGCGGGAGCAGGAGCAGGAGCCGAAGCAGCAGAGGCAGCAGCGGCAGCAGCAGCAGCAGAGGCGGCAGCAGCTGAGGCGGCAGCAGCAGCAGCCGCTGCCCGGGAAGCTCTCTCTCCTCCTTGGGCCACTCCAGGCCCCGGCTGTGGGAGGCCTGCAGGTTAGGGTTAGAGACATTTCGGACACCCTGCATCTTTTGGAGTAAGTTGTTTTAACCCCTTCCCTTAACTCAGCAGCAGCGGCCGGGATGGGGGTTTGGCGGACGGGGACACTGGCGAGTGCTGGCGGGCTCGGTGAGTGCAGCCTCAGTTTCTCCCCCAGGCTTCTGTGCGTGCCCTCCGCGTGCAGCTGGCCGTGGGGGGATGGTCGCCGCGAGCCAGCTCCCTGGTGAAGCGGGGGAGGGAGGAGGGTATTATCAGCCCCTGGGGTGGGGGTGAAGGGGAGCTGGAGCTGACGCTGGGTTGGTCAGGATGGCCCATCCCCCTGTTCCAGCTCCCTGTGTGCCTGCCCGCCCGCCCATGAGGGGGCTAGCTGGAGGCCCAAGCCCTGCAGCTGCATCTTCCCTCCCTGATCTGCAGAGGAGGGTGCCTCCTACTGCTGGCTTGGGAGGAGGGGGGCGCTTTGCCAGGCAAGGGCTGGCTCATCCTGGGTGTCTGGCTCAGGCTCTGGGTGGCCCCCTTGGCAACGGGCAAAAATGGTGCCCATTATGTTAATAATTGTAGGATTATCTTTTTGGATTGTTGGAAGGGAGCCACCATGTCCGATAACCATCTTTTTAAAGCCATTTTCTTTTGGAGGGAAGAGCTGGTTTGTTAAACATTTACTAGCACACCTCTGCTGGAATACCCAACCAATATCTGGTATCACAACAATAGTACTTCTAATGATAGTATTTCATCTTAAAGCACCCTTAATCTAGGGATCTCAGGGTGCTTTACAAGCTTTTAATCTCACAGAACCAGTTTGAGCTAAGTATTCTTTACTAAAGTACTAGAAGGAGCCCTGGTTTCACTGGTCATTGACATGGGGTACTCCTTTCACAAAGTAGCACTGATCACCTCAACTTAGTTGTGTGACTACAAATTTCAGTGTCCTTCTGAATTCTGGTGGTGAGTGGAATTCAAGAACCTGAGTTCAGATCCCACCACCACAGATACTTCCTCTGTGACCTCTGGCAAATCGCTCAACCATTCTGTTTGTATGTAAAATGAGGGTGTTGGGCTGAATGCTCTCTGAGATCCCCCCCAGCCATTAGATCTGTCAACTTGTCAGTTGACCACCTGCGTGACCTTTGCGGGCCATTACCTGTCCTGGGCCTCAGTTTCCTCATTTGTAATATGAGGGGGTTGGGCTAGCTGGCTTCTTGAGGGCCTTTTCAGGTCAAGATCTAAAATCCTATGAACTTTGGTCGTCAGACCAAGAATACAAAATCACTGGCTTCTACTCTTCCATTTTTCCAGACATTACTAGCCCTCTGCTGATGCTGCCAGGGTCATCACAGTAAGCATTACAGGAGGTAGTATTTGTAGCAGACAAAAAGGTAACTGAGTCTAAACGTGCCCAGGGAGCCTCAGATGGCTAGATTTATGAATGGCACATTGGCCATGGCAACTAATGAAGACCCCCAATGAAGGCAGAAATCATCACAGAAAATATCTGTGCCTCTTTTGCACCTCTAAATGAGAGCCGTTCAGCAGACAAGTGGCTCCATTCGCAAATCTATTAATAATATAAAATGGAGTGATCATTTTTGCCTGCTAAAACAAAAAAACTAACATTTTCAATTGTTGTTCAGTCATGTCCAACTCTTCATGACCCCATTTGGGGTTTTCTTGGCAGAGATATTGGAGTAATTTGCGATTTCCTTCTCCAGCTCATTTTACAGATATGGAAACTGAGGCAAATAGGGTGAAGTGACTTGCCCAGGGTCACATAGCTAGTAAGTGTCTGGGGTCAGATCTGAACTCTTGAAGATGAGTCTTCCTGACTCCAGGCCTGGCGCTCTATGCGCTATGGCGCCACCTAGCTGCCCAGTTTTCAGTTGTAACCCACTTTGAACTTAATGAGCCAAAGTATGGTTTATATCGAGAGAAAGTGAGGAACCAATTAACAATCATCTATGAAGCACCGACAATGTGCCGGGCACTGAGGACACAAAGATAAAAATTAAACATTCTCCTTCCTCAAGCAGCCAGGAAGACCTAGGTTCAAGTCTTGCCACTGACACATACTGGCTTCATGCTACCGCCTTCTCCCTGTTGATTATCTCTATCCTGTAGATAACTTGTTTGGACTCAGTTGTTTTTATGTAGTCTTTTTCATTCGACTGTAAAACTCTTTGAGAGCAGGGACTGTCTTTTGCCTTTCTATCCCTATCCCTAGCACTTAGTACAATGCCTGGCACATAGTAGGTGCTTCATAAATGTGTATTGACTGATTAGCTGTGTGATCCTGGATAAGTGATTTAACTTCTCAGTGCTGTAGACCAGTGGGGTCAAACTCAAATAGAAAGTGGGAGGAAGGGCACTAATCCACACATAAGAATCCCATATACAGGCCCCACATTGACTTAGTTTTAAAATGTAATTATATCTATGTTTTATTGTATTTTCATTTGTTTTAAATAAATAATTTATTAATTATTTGAATTAATTAAATTAAATATTGCCCAGTTACATTTTAATCTGGTTAGGCCACACTGGAGGGTACTGGTCCAGATCTGGCCCTCAGCTGCATGTCTTACCCCTCCGCTGTAGGCTGCTTCCCAAGATGCAGAGAACGTGCTGACCTACATTAGTTCGAAGAGTTCCTGGTATCAGTGAAATTATGGGTCCAGTCCCTATGCTCTTTGGATTGGGTAACAATCATTGCTACAGTGATTAATTCGTAGTAGATGCCTAATAAATGCTTGGTGACTGAACAATTAACCTGCTCTGTGACCCTGCACAAGGCACTTCAACTTTCTGAGTCTCAGTTTCCTCATTTATTAAGTGAGGGATAGCCCTTTATTATTTTCTCCACTCTAAACTCTTCAGGTTTTGAGGACCCCTTCCCCTCATTATTCTGGGCTTCGAGGTGGCAAAGTGGATAAAGCGCTGAGTCTGGAGACAGGAAGACTCATCTTCCTGAGTTCATATCTGGCCTCAGACACAAGCTGTGTGACCCTAGGAAAGTCACTTCACACTGTTTGCCTCAGTTTCCTTATCTGTAAAATGGGCTGCGAAGGAAATGGCAAACCTCTCCAGTGTCTCTGCCAAGAAAACGCCAAATAGGGTCACAAGGAGTTGGACACATCTGAAGAACAACTTAATTGAACCGTTGCTTTGAGTATATGGTCTCACTTTTTACTTCAGTGAGAAAATTGAGACCATTCACCATGAAATCTACCCTTCCCTGCCTAAGATCCTTCTGTTTCTCAAAGGACTGAGCATGTGAGGTGGCTAGTGAAAATGTCTCTATCCCCATTTTGCTGTTTTTGTTCAGTCGTTTCAGTTGTGTCTGCCTGTAACCTCTTTGGGGATTTTCTTGGCAAAGATACTGGAGTTGTTTGCCATTTCCTTCTCTAGCTCATCTTATAGATGAGGAAACTGAGGCAAACAGGGTGAAGTGACTTGCCCAAGGTCACGCAGCTAGCTAGTAAGTGTCTGAGGCCGGATTTGAACTCAGAAACATCAGCCTTCCTGACTCCAGGCCTGGAGTTCTACTGCCCAATCCCCATTTTACTGATAAGGAAATCTAGCTTCTTGGAGTAACTTATACAAGGTTATAATAGAAGAGCTTGGACTCATTCAAGTCTTCTTATTCTGAATCATTTGCAGGGGTGGGGCTCCATTCCTTGTCAGAACGCTGCTTGATTGAATTGGTCAGAATTGCCTGTGCACTGGACCTGCCTGCTTCCTTGAATCAATCAAAACCTTTGATTTGTGTGAGACTTGGGCTAGCCCTGGGGAAATTGTATGTTTAAAAAAACAAAACAAAACAGATTTCTGCTGGGCTAAAGAGGAAGGAGTGAGGTCAGTGAAGAATTGTGTCAGAAAGAACTGGCAGCCCCAGGGCAACCGAGGAAAGTAGGAAGAGAAGGTAGGGCTGAGCTATTCTGGACCTGGGAGATAATGAGGCCTACCATTGGCCCTGCAGGCATCTCTAAGCTGAAGGCTCCTGCTGATACCATACCACCTGCCTGATACAGCCACCTATTTCAGGACTGAGGGAAGTTCTGAGGCAAAGGTCTGTTCTTGCCCCAACTTCCTTTCTCACTGCCTGCCTATCCATAGACACCAATACAACCTGCTACTTTGTTATTTCCAGGAACCCATGAAACTAGACATAGAGACAGATGTAAGTATAAGTTATATGCCTCTCACAGTTATGGGTAGGAGATGTGTTCTTAACCAAACAGGATGTAGAGACAATGATAAAAGATAAAAATAGATAACTCTGATTACATGAAACTGAAAAGCTTCTCCTGGGACAAAATTAATGCATCTAAGATAAGACAGGAAGCAGTCAGATGGGAAGGGGAAAATCTTTTTGTCCAGTTTCTCAGACAAGAGTTTGGTATGTAAGATCTATAAACAATTATTACATGCATATGCATCCATATATCTGTCTGCATGGATCTGTGTATGTATATGTATATGTACATATGTATGTATATGGACCTACATATACTTGTATGTCCATATGCATATACAAAACTGATGGTCATTCCCCAATAAATAAGTGATCAAAGAATGTGAACAGTTCTCAAAAGAAGTATTGCAAAATGTTTACAATCCCATGAAAGAGTGCTCCAAGTTACTAATGATAACAGAAATGTCAATCGAAACAACACTGAGGTTTCATCTCATGCCCTGCAAATTGGCAAAGATGACAAAAATAGTAATTGTCTTATGTTGGAGAGGTTGTAGAATTATAGACCCGCTGATACGTAATTGGTAGAGCTGTGAAATGGTGTAGCCATTTTGGAATTATGCAAATAAAGTACCTAAAATGTCCATACCTTTTGAACCAGAGACTCCATTACTGGAGTAACTTAACGGAGTTGTTTGCTCTCCAAGAAAACCACTGAAAACAGGAAAGCTCCCACATTGCTGTATGCCAGAATATTTATAAGAGCACTTTTTGTAATAGCGAAGAATTGGAAACAAAGTAGATGCCCATTGACTGGGGAATGGATAAACAAGTTGTGGTACATGAATGTAATGGGAATATTATTGTGCTGTAAGAAATTACATATGTGGAGGCAGCTAGGTGGCGCAGTGGATAGAGTGCTGGCCCTGAAGTCAGGAGTACCTGAGTTCAAATCCGACCTCAGACCAAACACTTGACACTTACTAGCTGTGGGACTCTGGGCAAGTCACTTAGCCCCAATTGCCTTAAAAAAACCCCAAAAAACAAACAAAGAAAAAAAAGAATTACATATGTGATGAATACAGAGAAGCATAGAAAGATTTACATGAACTGATGCAGATGAAATAAGCAGAGCCAAGAAAACGCTATACACAATAATGACAACAACGTAAATGGAAACGACAACCACACCTAAAAAAATCAAAAGTGAATAACAGTAAAGATCAAGCGTGCTTAGAATGAAAAGATATGACATGCCTCCCCAAATCCACCCCTTTGGGAGGCGAGAGGTCCACAGGTGTCACATATGACACGTGTTTAGGGATTTTTTTTCAATGTATTAATTAGTTGGTTCATTCTCTCTCTCTCTCTCTCACTCTCTGTCTCTCTCTATGTCTTTCTCTCTGTCTCTCTGTCTTGTCTTTAAAAATATTATTTGTTCTATGGCATGACTGTCTGGGAGAGTGAAGGGAAGGGATCCTAGGGAAAATTGATTATATATTTAAAAACAAAACATAAGACCCTAATCAAAACTTAGTTTTAAAAAATATATAAATGTAAGTTAAGGCAAAAAACCAAACCCCTTCCTAAATGTTAGAAATTTTTCTAATGGCTTAGAGCAATTGTGATCATGTTTGTAACTTTTTGTCAAAAATAAACTCCATCGATCAACAGAGAAGGAACTTTAGGAGCTATCATATTGCCCTAGGCTTAAATTGAGCTAATTTTTATAACAATGTTACATACTACTCTTTTCATTGTAAAGAAAATGCTTTGTAAACTGTATAGTTCCATATAAATGGGAGTGGCTGTTTTTACAACCTAACTTTTTGATAGAAATTTCATTGGTATATGTAAAAATATTAAGTTCTGCTTAGGGAAAGCCAAATATACTCATCTTTTTCCAGGTCCAGTTGACCTCATCTGTTCATGCAGATTTGCTAGGATTTCTTCCAAGTTAACAAAGGCACTTTAAAACCTCCCACGCAAACCTCAAAGGGTAAGTACCAGGCTTCTTGGGTTATCCTTTATTTACCATTATTTTCTCTCCACACTGGTGTCATACTCTTGTGACCAGTGACAGGTTTCTCTCCCTTGGAATTAGAAGGAAACATGACAAACTTCGTTTTTGTGCTGGTTCATGCTAGACTTGCTCTTTCTAAAAGCAGTCAAATTAAGTCAGCAGTCCATCTAAGTTACTAGGTGGTGCAGTGGATTGAATGGAAGACCTGGAGTCATGAAGACTCCTCTTCATTAGTTCAAATCTGACTGCAGATGCTTACTAACTATGTGACCCTAGGCAAGTCACTTTATCCTGTTTGCCTCAGTTTGCTCATCTGTAAAATGAGCTGGAGAAGGAAAATATCTTTGCCAAGTTCCAATATCTTTGCCAAGAAAACCCCAAATGAGGTCAAAAAAGTTGAAAGTTGTTTTAGTTACCATACAGACAACAGTGTCTGAAGTCATACTACCATTTGTCCGGATTAGTCTTGAGATAGAGTACACTAAGTGTTCAGCAAACTACAGGCCTCACTCAGTACAGTCACCGTTATCTGTAACCCATATTCTGGAGCAGCCACTTACTGGCCTGCTCACCTTAGGAAGCTTGTTATACTGAAAAGGGTACCGGATCTGGAGTATGAGGGAACCTGAATTTGAATTCTGCCTTTACTACTTAACTCTGTAGCACAGGGCAAATTACATGAACTCTTTGGACCTTGTTTATCACCTGAAAAATGAGGGGCTTGGACCAGCTGGTCAGTGAGGTCCCTTACAGCATTAAATCCTAAGCCATTCCCTGGGCCTCCATTTTCTCCTCATATAAAATGATGTGATCTCTAAAATCTCTTCCATCTCTAAATCTGTGCTCCTACCCATGTGCCCATGGGATCCACTAAAATTACATGAGATAGATCACTTAACATTTTTTGTTAGGTAGCTTTTTGATTCACAGTATTTGGTCAGCAGATTGTAATGGATGGACCCCGTTCTGGCATCACTTTGTTATCATCTTGGGAGAGTCAGTGAACCTCTCAATGCCCCCGGCTATTTCCTAAGACTATAAATTACTCATGAGTTGCTGATCCTCGTGCTATGTGCCAGGCACTAAGCCAATCATTTTACAAATATTAGTTCATTTGATCTTCACAACAGCCCCGAGAGGTAGGTGCTGTTAGTATTTCCATCTTACAGTTAAGGGAACAAAAGCAGACAGAAGTTAAGTGATAATAATTAAAATAATATTAATATAGCACCTACTGCGTGCCAGGCACTGTGCTAAGTGCTTTACAAATATTAGCTTATTTGGTCCTCACAACCACTCTGTGAGGTAGGTACCCCATTTAACAACTGAAGAAACTGAGGCCAATAGAGGTTAAGTAACTTGCCCAGAGTTACATAGCTAGTAAAGGTCTAAGGCCAGATTTGAACTCTGGTCTTTCTGACTCCAGGCCCAGTGCTCTAACCACTTTGCCACCCATCTGCCTCATTGAATGCTGTAAAATTTTTAAACATTGCTTTCAATTCAAACAAAGATGTTTTATCTATTTTTATTATCATTATTCTTTGTGTTATCACTTTCATTGTTCTCTAACTAAGATACAATTATAGACAGTACTCAGGATTTATAATAAGTCAGATTTGACATGGGGTGGGGTAGGGGTGGGAATTATAGCCTGTAGCTGGATAAATACAACATATCTCTTCAATTCCCCGCCCTTCCCCCCAGTCAAAAGACTCACTTGCCCCTCCCTAGAGTGGAATATACCACCTACTGATTTGTCATCTCACAGACATGTGGAAGCAGCATTAAGAATAAGTTGTAACGGTGATGTCATTTGGAAGCATTTTCAGGGAGCTAGAATACAATTACCCTACTGGGCTTGGAATATGCCTAGAGAGCTGAAGGTTAACATTTCCCTCATGGACAAATGCTCAGGCATCTTGACTCATTGAAGATCTTGTGGTCTTTAGCACTCTCGGGGGGGGGGGGGGGGGGGGGGGGGATGTTAATCCCTAGCACCTGAAAGAAGAGCTATTCCAGAACTGGCCAGCTATGGAAGGGTAAGCCATGAGGGAATAAAAGTAGGAGAACTTGGAACATCATGACTGATGACCATAAAATCAGATAGCCTTAGATGTCAGAGCTGTAAGAAATCTCGCATCAGCCAGCTCCCTACCTTCAGGAAGATGAATCATTAATCCTGGTTTCATGGATGAGCGAGTCAGGTCTAGGGAGGGTGACTTATTCAAGATTACATTGCTAGCCAGGGGCCTGACTGTACTCTTTCCTAACTTTAAATAGTGCTAGGAGACTGTGTAAAGATGAGAACAATGCCATGTTTTGAGCCATAGAAAATAAGCCCAAATCGATTTATTCAGCATTTGTTCCTGACGGTTCAGGTAAACTGTACAAAAAGTTAGGTTTGATTAAACCAATCTCAGTGTGTTGTCATTAAATGATTTCCATGTGAATATTTTATGAAGTCACACGGGAAGCAGGGGTAGAGGTGGAGAAGGCCTGACTTGTATCATTCGGCTGCTTTAATTCAGATTTCTTCTGTAAAAATGAGAAGATTGGAGCAGATCAGTGTTTGGGTCTCAGGACCCCTTTATATGCTTAAAAATTACTAAGGACTTCTCCAAAGAGTTTTTGCTTATATGGATTATAGCTATCAATATTTATTAGAAGTTAAAACATCGTAGTATTACTATGAAAATAGTTTTGACCTCACAGACCCCCTGAAAGCATCTTGGGGAACCCAGGGTGTCCCTCAATCACACTTTGGGAATTGCTGGAGGAGATAAACTCTAAAGTCATTCCTAGTTCTAAACATAGTAATCCTACATTTTGGCATGATCATTTCCATGGTAAAAGTGGAATTGTTAAGGCTCTGTGGTATAGATTCTGGAAGACCTGGGTTCAAATCATACTTCAGATGTTCCACTTACTAGCTGTGGGACTGTGAGCAGGTCTCTTAATTTCTCTGTGCCTTGCCTTAAATATAAAATGAGGGGGTTGGAATCAAGGGTCTCCAAGGTTCCTTACAGCACTTAGTCTAAGTTCCTTATCAAATTATATAACAGGAGAGGTTAAAATACATGTGAGCCTAAGTATTTGGCCTATGTGCATTCACAATTATTTGGTAATCTAGTGGCTAAATATTCTGAATAAGATGTGCACCCATCTTTTTAAGGTATTTTACCCCTCTGTTAGTCATAGAAACATTAATTTATTCTATCCTTGTTTGTCAGATATTCTGAATACCAGAAATTCTCTGTATGGTAGAATTTGTACAGAAGCTGTAAGTGAAGTTCACAATGCAGGCTTCTGTTTGAAAATAGGGAGGGATTCTGGGTAACTAAGGTCTCTTAGAGTGGTTTAGGTAAAAGGAAGTCCCTGAAACCCATAAAGGAAACTACAGGTACCTCCTTCATCTAGCTTTCATCTTTATACTCCAAAGAAAAGGACAAGCAATGTATGCCAATGGAATTTGAAAGGAGCTGTAAACTCCTTATGGCTGGAAGCTTTCATGTAACTTTATTGGAGTCCTGATGATAGTAATGCTTCCCTTTATTTACAGAGAAGATGCCACTGACTGCCCTCCCCCCTGACTCCCAACAATGGAGCATATCCTGAGTGTTTTGTTTTTGTTTTTAATTATGGTGATGGATTTGACATGATTTTTAATTATGGTGATGGGATTCACATTCCCATCCAGTGCCCCTTGGAACCGTTGGCACGTTTGTAAGCATCCTGAAAGTTCCATGGCCTTGGACCAGAACACACTTGGGTACCGAGCCCATAATTGTGGCCTCATTAGCACCTTCTTCTAACCAATTGCATTAATCTGCCACATGCTCTAGAATCATTTGGGAGAAAACTTAGAGGTCATCTCCTCCAACTTCTATGTTTTACATATAAGGAAACTGAGGCCTAGAGGGGTGAAATGGCTTGGCCAATATATCACGAAAGGAGTAAAAGTGAAAGAGTTAGGATCTTGTTGCCATACTTTCTCTCTACCATCACATGTGACTACGTAGCTACTTCTTTATGTCAGAGGGCCTTCATGATACATTGGAAAGAACTCTGGCCTAATAATCAAAGGGCTTGCTTCGAAGCTCCAAATCTGAAATATAGTAATTCTAGGGACAAATCATTTTACCTCACTTAGCTTCAGTCTCCTCTTCACCATCCACAGATAACTTGCACCATCAATGTGAATTACTATTGCTGCTTTCTCTCTTGCCATTTTTTTTTCTAGCTCAATAAATATTGCTTGGTACTAGAAGGGAAAACAAGCCAACCGAGCCACTGTACTCTACCTAGAAATCAAAATATTTTCTCCCTCCACCCTCAACATCATGTTCTTGATGGAGGGGAAAAAAAAAAAGTAAATGTATTGGTTGGCCATTTCTGACATGCTTTTCTGTTTTTCTCCCAGTTGGTTATCCAAGGTCAATCAATCATATATTTATTGAGTGCTGACTGTGTACTCAGTGTTATTGTAACTCATTATGACAAAATGCTGTGATCTGTTCAGCAATTAGATTCCCAGGAGATGGGGCAGAGGAAAAGGCCTTTGATTTTGCTGGAAGTTACAAGGTCATTTGGATAAATCCAAGTACTGTGGGGTCCTGGTTTTCTGTTGATTTGTTTTCTATCACAGAAAATTTAATTAATTTAGGAGGGAGGGTGGTCTGGAAACTATGAGGACATGATTTTCTTTTCATCATTAGTACAGCAATAGAGACTGAAGTGATTGCAAAAATATGGTTCATTATGTGAATGGGTATTGTTTATTTCTCCTCATACTTCCCTTGGAATGGCTTGAATCATCCAAGAAGTTAGCCTACCTATTCTTTATTCTAATGAATTTAGAAGAAGTCTACTCTTGATTCACTCCCAGTTTGTAAAGTCTTTTGCTAATCATGCATTGTTTTCCCTCTTACTATGTTGTTTTCCCTCTTCCCACTAATACCAGGGGCAACTTAAAGGGGAAACTCCAGTGGTTCAGCTTTGCTGATTCATTTGGGCACCCTTGCCACATCCCTTATATTTCTAGCCATATGATCATTCATTTATAGGTATAAATTGAGTATTTGAAGCTTTGTATGACACTTTTTTCACTTCCTATCACGAAAAGACAATTCAGCAATGTGCTGTTGCATGTTTTCATTGCATAGTGGTGGTAAAAAAAAAAAAAGGAAAAACAAGTAAAAATTTAATTCTTAAGATCACTTGAAGTCAAAGTAATTTTAGCTCTCCCTCTGCTTAGGTGTGAGGAAGATGCTGTGAAACCATACCTGGCCACAAGCGCTGGTTGTCATAGTAGTCAGATCTATGATGTCTAAGCGTGTGAATGTTCTGTTTATATTGCATGTATACTTAAGTGTGATACTTTCAGAAAGAGCCTTAGGTTTGGAGTCAGAGGACCTGGGTTCAAGTCCCAGCTCTGGTCCTTCCTACTTATGTGAGCTCAGCAAACTCACCTCCCCAGCCTCAGTTTCCCCACTTGCAGAATGAAAGATTTGGGCCACCAAGAACCCTAAAAAGAGGAGCTCTACATCTAAGAAACTTACATTGTATTTGTATTGTGACCAAATTTTTATTCTGGAATTCATGCTAATGATTTCTAATAGGTTTATCCTTTTTACTCTGTTGTTAAATTATTTCCTGAAGTTTTGTTCTCTTGTATTTTCTGTCCCTAGTATTTTTTTGACCCAAAGTGATTTCTCAGCCTCCCAATCAGTCATGGGTTGTCGGGACGTCCACGCAGCAACAGTGCTCTCCTTCCTGTGTGGTATTGCCTCTGTGGCAGGGCTCTTTGCTGGGACTATGCTTCCTAACTGGAGGAAATTGAGATTAGTCACATTCAACAAGAATGAGAAGAACCTGACGGTTTACACGGGGCTCTGGGTGAAATGTGCCCGCTACGATCGGAGCAGTGACTGCCTGATGTATGATACCAAGTGGTATTCATCCGTTGACCAACTGGATCTGCGGGTTCTTCAGTTTGCCCTCCCCCTCAGCATCATCATCGCCATGTCCGCACTCTTGCTTTGTCTGATTGGGATGTGTAACACAGCCTTCCGGTCAACCGTACCCAACATCAAACTGGCCAAGTGTCTGGTCAATAGTGCAGGCTGCCACCTGGTGGCAGGGCTCCTGTTTTTCTTTGCCGGTGTGGTGAGCCTCACTCCATCCATCTGGGTCATCTTCTACAACAATCACCTGAACAGGAAGTTTGAACCCGTGTTTTCATTTGACTATGCAGTGTATGTCACCATTGCTAGCTCAGGGGGCCTGTTTATGACCTCGCTTTTGCTGTTCCTTTGGTACTGTGCATGCAAAGCTCTGCCTTCTCCTTTCTGGCAGCCCCCTGTACTCCCACACTCCCAGCATGCATAGCTATTCTCAGCCCTACTCAGCCAGATCTCGCCTCTCTGCCATTGAAATCGACATCCCAGTGGTTACACATACCACTTAATGGGAAAAGAGTTTGTTTTTAAGGAAAACTTTTAAACCATCTACAAAGCAATGTCTGCAGCCTGCACACAATTTGTCTCGTCTCTGACTAGACAAGGTTGCTGTGTTTTTACAGTCTGATCCAATGAAGTAACTTAACTATTGCTAACTAATTTTTATAAAATGTGCATTTTATTTTTTAACCGAAACCTTTCCTTTTGACTGCTGCATTCCTTTGATAGTTACCCTGGGAAGTTTTCCCACTTCAACTTCCATGTTAGTACTGGAGCCTATAAGTGTATGTGATATATATATGTGAGATATATATATATATATATATATATATATATATACACACACACACACACACACACACACACACACACATATACATGTATGGATATATACATGTAAACATATCACTAATTCTATGGTATATTAATGCTCATGTTAAATTGCCCTTTTCCATTGGACTTTATATAAAACACGTGAGCATGTATGTGTACACAAACTAAAGCAATTTTTTAATAGTGCACTTTTTTTTTCAGCCACATGATCTGTTCTAGAATTACCTGATCTCCCTCCTTGAAAATATGGAACCTTTTATTACTTCTCTTCACCTTATAGTAATTGTGTTGTCATAGGATTAGATGTTTTAAAGATGACTTTACAATTCAAGAATTCTTTTTATCTATGTTCCATCTCATTGCCATGGTTCTTTTAAAGCTAAAACTCATTTTAAGTGATATCAGATAGAGTAGTCCTAAAAAAAATTTTTTTTAGGAGTTGTCAGCCAAAATCAGCTTCCTGATTTTGCTGAAAATTGCTTCATTTGAGTTAGATACATACAACATAAAACATGATGGTCCTACATGCCCCCATTGGTAGCAGGGTTTTTTCTCCCCAGGACCATCCACACAACAGTATTGCTGACCATGGAGGAGATCTCCAGTGTACTCATATACATATAGCAGGACAACAGGCCTGAGTAGTTTATCTTCTTGTAACAGTAATGGTGGCTGGGGACAGGAATCACTTTTCTTTACTGGGCTTATTGTCAATAAAATACAGTCATTGTGGTCAAGCTCTCTGAATGGGAAAATAACAAGGGAGTCAAAGTTTCGGCAGCATTCTATCATGCTTCTACTTGTCCTAGATTGCTACTTACGTTTGACACCAAGCAATTAAGGAATAAGTGGTCATTGAGCATCTGCCAACTGCCCAGTACTGAGTGAAGCTCCATGGGGATTATGAGGGAAGACATCACTTCATCAGCTATAAAAAGGAGTTAGATTAGGTCATCTCTAACAGGGATTTTTACTCTGGGATGCACATACCTCCCCCACACACACACACAACGGAGTCCATGGATAGATGTCAGGGGGCCTGTGAACTTAGATGAGAAACAAATTCCATCTTTATTTTTCTCTAACCTTTAACTGAAATTTATCATTTCCTTCAATTGTTTAAAAGCGTAATTCTGAGAAGGGGTCCCTAAGTTTCATCAGACTGTCACAGGGGGTCCAGGACACAAAAATGGCTAAGAAGCCCTGGTCTACAAAGTCTCTTCCATCTCTTTAAGCTCTGTGGTACCACCTCTGCCCTCAAAAAAGTTTTAGCTGAGTTGAGGGTTCATTGATCACTGTGGCCAGTGGGTCTTGATTATCAGATAATGGTGATACAATTACATATGAAGAGCACCTTAGAGGCTTTAAAACACTTTCGCAAACATCTAATTTGATGAAAAGTGATGGAGCAATAGACTTGGGAATGTGGTATAAGGAGCATTCAAAGGAAGTGGAGTCGGAGAACCTGGATTTGAATCCTGGTTCTGCTCCTGTGTGACCTTGTGTGACCTTGGGCATGTACACACCTCTCTAAACCTCTTTCCTAATCTGTAAAGTGAGGGGGTTGGACCTGTGTTAGCTTGGGCATGTACATATCTCTCAGGACCTCTTTCCTAATCTGTAAAATGAGGGGTTAGGACCTAGCAATCTCTAAGGTCCCTTCCAAATCTCTGCTCACGTGCGGAGGGACATTGCACTAGATACCCTAATCCATCCAGGTTTAGATAGGCTTAAAATTCTAGTCCCTAATAGTAACATGGTGACTAGATATTGAAGTCCTACTAAGTGAGGACTCTCAGGCCAGATGTGTGAAGAAAGGGTTAAAGTTAGTAGAGAAGTCAAAATCCTGTCTTGGAAAAATGGTGAGTCATTTAGGAATGTGAAAAGTTTAAAATCTAAGAGACTCTTTTAATAGGATACTTGTCTTATGAAAGTAAATCAGCTGTGCGATCAAAGTAGAAAAATTCAGGGATATTGGTTCTTTCGAATGCTTGCGTTCAGGTTACTGAATCAACTGTACAGTTGGATAATTTGTCACACCGACAAATTACTACTGTGTTCATAAGGAGTTTGTGGTACTACCTGAGACTGAATTTACAGAAAACTAGGTACGTGGTACACAAACAATTATATCTTTGTGAAAATTTGGGTATAATTTTGGCAGGGTTTTTTTTTTAAGAGCCCAGCTGTATTTTGTATAAATATATATAGTAGATAGTAGAGAAATGCAAACATGTAGCTTCTTGAAGTACTGTCATTTTAAACACAAAAAGCATGTTAAGCTGTTGTTCTCAGGTGATGGTGTCTGACTTTCAGCTCCACCCCTCTCTGCCGTTTTCAAATGTGGCCAACTCTTAACCATCCTACCCATTGATGTTGGTGCGGTCAGGAAGAGCAATGATAACTGAAATTTTGATCTAATTCTAAACTCTCATATTGAATACCTTCTTTGTGTCCAGCACCAAGTTAGGTTTTTGGAAAAGTAGAGCAGAGCCGGTTGCCTTGGGGAAGCTTACAACTAGCTGGCAGACCCGAATTAATTGTTGTATAAGGCAACAGTAGCCACCCCAGCTTGTTGGGCACAGATTGAAATCATTTCACGTTTCAATCTATGGCACCTTAAGTATGTGTTAAAAGTCTCGTATGATCTCTTTCTCATCCCCTGCTGTCAGCTTTCATCACTGTTTGTGCTGGTACCACAAAACAGAGGCAGCAGATGTTTCTCTTATTGCCTCTTTTATTTCTGATTATTTCAAATTTGCCAGTGAATGTTTTCCCAGATGTGATCATCAATGTCTCTTCTCCCTTGGAGCCATCTTGAGAAAGTAAGCCTTTTGGCAGTTTCTTTCTTTAGCCATATCTTCTTTCTGAGAATTCTCATCAGATTATCATCGTTTGGAGGAAGGAGAGTATCTCTTTCTGTGCTGAAGGCCTATTGATGTTGCTACAATGCTGTCTATCACAAAAGGCAGTTTAGAAAACTACCTTAAATGTTTCCCAGTGTGCCATATTTGGTTTGTTTCACTACGGAAAATTTCCTTGCTAATATTTGTAAATGTAAGATAAAAGTACAGTACATTTTCTGTAAACTGTGAGGTGACTTCTAGATATACCTAATTCTGAGCCCTATTTCTGTATGTTTATTAAAAGATGTATTTTTACAAACTTTCGCACTGATTCTAGTTCTTTAATGTTTAAATGTGAATGTTTGGGAACACTTGAATAAATATGGTCTCCCCAGTATGTTTGGCTTAATGTTAAAGAGACAAGTCAGGAAGAGTATGTTCATCACTGTCAATGGATCTCAGTCTACTGATGGGGGGACCATATTGTAAATGGTGCGAAAATTTTCATAATCCAGTGATTTGGAGGACTAGGTCACTAGGAGATGTTTATTGTGAAGGAGCTCCTGTAGCAAAGCAGGTAAGGATCCAAGCCAAAGGTGGTCTATCTTGTAACCCATATCTGCCAAGAGCTTTGTCCCATTGACTGCGAATGGTGTCTTTACTGGACATATTAGCAGCAAATTGGCCAATCATCTGCAGCTATGCAGCATGTTTCTCCCTTTTGAAACAGCCTTCCTCTGTGATTAACGTCTAGGATGTATTTGTATTCTCATTACTGAGCACAATGCCTACCTGACACCTATAAGTACTAATAAATTTTCATTCATTCATTCATTCATAGTGATTTAGGGAAAAATCCTCCAGGTTCTACCATAGCCTATGTAAAATATTCTATAAGATCAACTCCATTGTGACTTTAGGCTTATCAAACAACCTTAATGTTATTCATATTAATTTATTTAATATTAATAATTCTGTCTCGGGTACCTTGATAATCAGGATTACTCAAGAAAAGTGTGATTGGTATTTTTTCCCTCACGTGTGACTCACTAAAGCCATTAAAAAAACACAAACTTTAGTAGATGACCTTTGTTTTCACATTGAGATTGAGATTGAGATGGTTCCATGTAATATAAAATGAAAGTTCACCTATCAAAGCCACAGTTCTAGGATCCAGTATGAGGAAGGTGACTCAAGTGCAGGCGTGGCATGTTTTGAGAGTGGCTGAGAACTACAGACTTTCCTAGTAGCTGTATTTAGCATGTCCCTATTCAGTTGTGAGCATCTCACATGGGCAGGGAGTGAGTTCCTCTTCTATTGTATCTCCTGTGCTTAGCACGTAGTTGGGGGAACCATCCAGTAGACTTTTATCTTGCCACTGGACTTTGATGGGGGGGAGAGAATGAGGCTGATGACTTTTTTTTTTTTTGGCTAGGCAATGGCGTTAAGTGACTTGCCCAAGGTCATACAGCTAGTAAGCGTTATGAGTCTGAGACCGCATCTGAACTCGGGTCTTCCTGACTCCAAGGCCGGTACTCTATCCACCGTGCTACTTAGCTGCTCCCTGATGACTTTTCAAAGCTCTACCTCACTTAAATCCAATTCCCTTGCAAGTCAAGACATCACCCTTGTGATGTCATTGGTCCTCTCTGAGAACAAAGGATCAACAATAACATGGCAATATGTAATAACAAGCACCTAATACATGCTTTATTCACTCTCTCAATATCTGCATATTCCGGGCATGAGCTGCCCCGTGCCCCAGACTGAATGCTCCCTTGTAACAGAAAAACAGTGAAGCAGAAGCAACTGATACAGTGACAACATCTGACTGCATACAATGTCCTACCTTTCCAGGCCCCCTTCTCTCCAGGAGGAGAAGAGTATGTTTTACTTGTTTTTCAGGACTATTCCCTTTTTCAGTTACTCAGAGTTTGACTCATTTTTAGTGATCCTTTTCATTTCCATTGTTGTATTCATTGTTTTGTTTTTGTTTTTGTTTTTTTTTTTTAGGCAATTGGGGTTAAGTGACTTGCCCAGGGTCACACAGCTTGTAAGTGTCAAGTGTTTTGGTCTGAGGCCAGATTTGAACTCAGGTCCTCCTGACTTCAGGGCTGGCTGCTCTCTAGCTGCCCCTGTTGTATTCGTTG